TGGCGGAAGGGTTTTGTTTTTGTGCCCGTGTTGTTTTCGGGGCCCTTGAAGCTCTGGGGTAGCTCCGGAGGCCGGGGGTGATCTTCCCGCGCCCCCTAGAGCTTAACTCCAGGAAGTGGGGAGGGGGTTGGGGATGGGTGTGTGTGTGTGTGTGTGTGTTTGTGTGTGTGTGTGTGTGGAAGGGGGCTGGGGGGATGTGGAACGAACGGGTGGTCGCTGTCGTGGTTGAAGCTCTGGGGCTGCCCTCCGCTTCCTTTCCACCCCCCCCCCCAGAGCTTGTTTTGCGAGGAGGTTGGGGGGACTAGGTTCCTTCACCCTGCATCGACTCTAGCCCAACCCGGGCTAGGGCCTTGCTCCTCATCACCCATTACGACCAACCCGGCCTCTCTGTTCACTCCTAGTTCTTTGCTTCTGACAATGGTGGCTGGCGGTCTTGAAGCCGCTGGGCTGGGCTGGGCTGGGCTGATGGGCGGATGGGCGGATGGGACATGGCATGTAAATAGGCATACCATAGGTAGTAACTGTAGAGTAGTCCAACTGATCGATTCTGTATCTACATATACCTGTATAGTATGTTCTATACACAACACATGCATTAGTTCTTCATGGCTGCTTCACCGTTTTGTTTACATTCGCCCTATATCTCCGTTGTGTTAACAACAGCCAACACCGAATCAATAACAAGAACCATAACAATAACATCCAATCTGGCACCAGAACGAATCGAGATCGCTAGTGGCTGTCTCAGCCGCTCGACCAAGCCAAAGCCGGCCTACCTGCCGCCGTACTTTGCGATGAAAGCCCGAACCTTGGCATCGCTGAGGCTCAACTCGTTGCCTTGCGCCTCGACAAGTTCGCCATCTCTGCGTTCCAGTTCCTCTTCCATCCGCATCAATTGGCCCTGAAGTCTCGCACTCGTCAGATGGACCTGCGCAAACGGACTGTGCTTGTACAACGCGCTCGTAATCACCTCCAGGTCCGCATCAGCTCGATTGCATCGATCCGCCAGCCTCTCATGCGTGGAGGTGGCGGTCGACTCGTAATGGTCCTTCAGCTTGTCCGTTCGTTCCACACGAGTCTGCTGCAGAGAATCCTCAAGCGTCTCCATGCTCTCATGGTGAAGAGAGATGCCTGCATATCGAAGCGCATCTTGCAGTGTCACGGGCAGATCAAGTGCTTGGGAAGGCCTGAGCTTCACCAACGGCGTGAAAGCCAAGGGATTGGATGCCATTCTTGTAATGCAAGGCGTTGGAGTCGCAATGGCCATGGCGGGCATGCGCTTCTCTGCAGCTTCCTGGATGGGAGCGAGCGCTTGTTGAAACTCGTCGTTGGCTCTTGTCCCGTCATGTAAAATGTCGAGACGTTTGCCCATGTATTCAACCGTGGCCAGTATCTAGTACCGTCAACAGCCTGTGCATGAAATGACACACCATCAGTGCTACTTACGTATTGTAGCCATGCTGTTCTAGCTTGCACTCTGTCTCTCTTGTTGCGATCCCGTGTTTCAACCATGGGCTGTCGAACCTCATGTTCGACCACCATCTCTGCAATAGAAGCAATCTCCGAATGTAGCTCTTCCATTTCCGCTTGCAGTGCTGCTTTTCGTTCCTCGAACTCTTCATCTGGCGTAGCCGACCGCTCGCTCGATAATGGCTGTGCGAGGCCGTTGAGGTAAACCGTGTCGACTCGAGCTTTGATTTCCGCCGTGCGAAAAGAGATGATGGCTTTGCACCATTGCTCAATAGACTTCTCGTCTTCACTGACTTCAGACGCATTCAAAATCTTGGAAACGAGTCCTGGCAGTCGGCTCAAGATCTGATCATCGGATGAGAACCGTTCTGAGAGATAGGTTTTCAGTGCTGTCTTTTCAGTATCAATCTCTCGCCTCGTCTCAGTCAACTGCTCTTTCAATGATGAAACCACGTCGTCCACCTGCATGAGTTAGTGACTCGTTGATCAATGTAGACTTGCAGCGTACAGAAACATCCAGTCTGGATTTCTCTTGCCCCTCCTTTCTCTTGCGTTCGTTCCTGGCATGCTCGACGTCGGGATTGGGCTTGTCGAGAGCTTTCAACTTGACCAATGCATCTTTCTGGGCTTCCAAGACCTTGCACTGCTCCTCAATAGCAGCTGTGGAGCTTTGCAGAGATTCAATAGCACAGGCGATCTCGTGATCCAACATGGGCCGGACAGGCTCACCCTCACTCTCGTACTGATGCAGCAGACCCTTCTTCCGTAGAGTATGATAGCTACAACGGTATCAGAATTTGGGCATACAGAAGAAATGCAGGGAGCATACAGGTCCAACTCTTCTTTTGTTAATAGGGTCTCCTCATGAAGGTACTCTTCGACCCAAGCTGCAGCTTCTCGTCTTGTCTGCTCATCCTCGAAGCCAGAAAGTATCTTGTCCAAATCAACATTGAGACTTCGCTCTTCCAGTACATTCAACAAGTGATGTGCCGCTTGTTCTTCCTCCATATTGTGGCGGTGTGCTCCGATGGTGGTGTTTGGAGAGAGATCGAATGCGGTTAGATCTAGTGTTCAGCTACGGATAGCCCCAATTACCAAGCATGCAGGTCGCGCTTTTCTGGATTTGGACGCGTAACGCGACTGCGACCGCGAATTCACTTTTTCCAACAAACAGCCACGGAATCTACATACTTTGAGCAAGAATGCCTCCTTCTGCTCTTGACCCGGTCGCGACATCCTTTAAACCCTCTGAAGCCACTCAAAATGCCTTGAAAGACGATCAGACTGCCACCTGCACACCAACAACGTCGACCCCCACCTCCAACCCCGCACACGAAGAATACCAATATCTCTCCTTGATTCGCGAAATCCTCACAAATGGCGAGCATCGTCCCGACCGCACAGGAACAGGCACCTATGCCGCACCATTCCCCCCACAAATGAAGTTCGCCCTATCAAAACCATCCTCCGACCCCTCACAACCACCCATCCCAATCCTCCCCCTCCTCACAACCAAACGTGTATTCCTGCGCGCCGTAATAGGGGAACTGCTGTGGTTTGTTGCAGGCAGCACGCACAGCAAACCTCTCTCCGACGCCGGCATCAAGATCTGGGATGGCAATGGCTCACGCGAGTATCTGGACAGCGTCGGTCTAAGCCACTACGAAGAAGGGGAACTGGGACCCGTATACGGCTTCCAATGGCGACACTTTGGCGCAGAATACAAAGGCCACGACGCAGACTACACGGGCCAAGGCATCGACCAAATCGCCGAGATCATCGACAAACTCAAGAACAAACCCTACGATCGCCGCATCATCCTCAGCGCCTGGAACCCGGCTGATATCAAGAAAATGGCTCTCCCGCCTTGCCACATGTTTGCGCAATTTTACGTCAGTTTTCCGGGACACAAGCAGGGCCAGGAGAGACCGAGAGGGGTTCTGCATTCGCTGCTGTACCAGCGCAGTTGCGACATGGGTCTTGGTGTGCCCTTCAATATCGCGAGTTATGCGCTGCTGACGCACATGCTGGCTCATGTGTGTGACTTGACGCCCGGCACTTTTACACACACCATGGGCGATGCGCATGTGTATGCGGATCACGTCGAGGCGCTCAAGCTGCAACTGCAGCGCGAACCGAGAGAGTTTCCAGAGTTGAAGATTAATAGGGAGATTGGAGGGAGTATAGATGGGTGGAAGGCGGACGATTTCGAGGTCGTGGGGTATAAACCGCATGCGAGCATCGCTATGAAGATGAGTGTATGAGATTGGTAGGGCTTGGTAGTGGTGATGTATATAGGAGATTGAACCTACACAATGCACATGATACTTACGATGAAGGTATCTGAAAGTAAAATAGCAGCATGACCCTCGTGAACAATCATATAAACATCATGCATCATTCATGTAACATTGGCAAGAGAATACAAAACGCACCAATGCACTTTCAAACTCCCAACAAAGCCGCTATGCAAATACAACACAGCTCCATCCCTCAAGAACCATGCACACGCTCCTCGTTAACCTCCTTTACCTCCTTCTCCATCTCCTCCGCCAACCACTCGGCCTCCCTCCTCATCTCCTCATCCCCCCTCGGCTCCCTCTTATCATTATCCACCGCCGGAAACCTCCCCCTCCTCTCCTCGTCCGCAAGCTGCGCCTGCGCCTGCCGCTCCTTCGCCCTATGCAAGCCATCCAAATCCGCATCCTCACTCTGCATCATCTCGTAGATGGCATCGGTGCCGCCGCGGGCCTCTAGATCGTTCTTCTTGCGCGGGATAATGTGCGCGTGAACGTGGGGCACGCTTTGGCCGGCGTCCACGCCGTCTTGGATGGCGATGTTGAGGGCTGAGGCGCCGAAGACGCGCTCGACCATGCGGGAGACGCGTTGGACGGTTGCGAAGAGGTCTTGGACTTCGGCGGTGGAGAGGTCGTTGAAGCGGGGGACGGGGCGGCGGGGGGAGACGAGGACGTGGCCTGGGAGGAGGGGCTTGAGGTTGACGATGGCGAAGGAGAGGCGGGTTAGGTGGAAGACCTATGGTGGGCAGTGTTAGGTTGGTTGGGAGAGGTTGTTGTGGAGGGGGGACGGGTACCTGGCTTGTCACCACGAAGGCGCCGAAGTGAATGACATCCTTGGTGAGTGGCATTGCCTTGTGCTTCGGTCAATTACAAGGTTGGGGTAGTCGAGTTGTTAGAATTAACGGACTTTCGACGTACGGTAGGAAGGTCAACTAGGTACCAGACCTCGGCGCAGTTCATTCGCTGGTTCAAGCTTAGTGACGCTCCATTTCCACCACCTCCACGACCATCGACATGGAGTCAACATAGAAGAAAACATGAACCAGCGCCCCAAAAGACGCAATCAAACCCACCCATGGGTCTCCGGTGTGGTTGGGCGAGTCGCCGGCTTGTGTGGCTCGTTGGGCGATGGTGTCGAGGGCGCGTCTGTACTTTCCGGTGATGGAATGATCACTTTTGAAGCGGAGAAAGAGGTTGCAGCAGTCGCTCATCCAGAACAGTGTTGTGATGCTCAAGATTTTTGAATCGCCACGGCTGCAGTCTTTGACTTTGTCGGCCTTCTCCTATTCGGTTAGGTCTGCCCATTTCTTGCCATCTGCGCGCGCTTTCTTTGGGCCATCTTTGCTGCCAATGCCCTTTTCCAGGTCCCTTTTACCGTCGTCGCTGCCGCCGCTAATGTTGACATATACCTGGGTCGATTCAATCATTGATCATGGATATCCCTCGGTGGGAGACTTACACCAGGAAGCCAACATTGTATGAGGTTGGTCTTACTGTTCTCAGGGAGAGTCCATAGACTAGGGCTGAAAGACTTGCGGTGCTCATCAAGCCCGAGTGCATGGAATGCGTTCTCAATCTCTGATCCAAAGATTAGAGACAGCTCATCAAATACTTCCTCTTACGTTCATGAATCTCGGTATTGTGGAAAGCGAACGGATTGTTACGAGCCAAGCTGTCTACCCATACGTTATCAGGGTACTCCAACTACCTTCATAGTTACCTTCTTCTCGGCCTGATCAAGCCAGCTACGCCCGGCTCCCTTGGGGAATTTCCAGTCTTCTTCTTTGACTTGATTGTAAACGTATCTTGTTCCGGGTCGTTTGTCTTGACCCAGTCTTGATACTATTCCGTCTTTTGAAGACCAGTGCTCGCGTCTACAGACTTGTAAATGGAGTACATTTCCCACGACTGGCCCATTGCACTTAGCTGACAGATATCGACACGACATACCAAGCCCACACAAGCACGGACGGTGTAGGTACCGTGGGAAAACCCAAAGAAGAATATCTCATCCCCCTTGAAGTAGATCAACGTACTACAAGTCAATCGAACGCTTCATCTTGCCCACATTCGATGGAATCGTCTGCGCACCGTGAGCAGAACTCTGCCACGTGCCATCGCAGCAGATTATGATGCGCTTGATCGGCCATAAAGGAGCTAGTTTGAGATCCTTGGCGAAGGGAGATGCGGAGGAAACAGTTCCTGCCACGAGATTGCCATTCTCGTCCCTGAACCCACCCTACGAAAAGACTTCTGGCTGTGAACTGCCATTGGGGGAGCCTTCTGGCTGGAAGCTATTTTGTGACGACTGTTTTGTGCAGAAAACTTCCAGTGGAGATTCCTCTGGTTGAAATCCGGTTTGACTGATCAGTAGCTTTTCTGCAAAGCCACCTGGGTGACAAGACGTGATTATGAGGTGACAAAAAAGGGGGAATCAATTTTTGAACGAGAAGTAATCGAACATTATGGAAAGTTGCTATTCAGTACTTGTACCTGCTCCATCTGTAGCCTCACAAAAAAGTGCCTGCTACAACTTACTGCTCTCGAACACTTGAGCTGAAACTTGGCGATAGGGCAAGATGCAAGCCAATTTGGTAGATTCGAAGCGGAAATGTCCAGTTCAGGACAGCGCTACGGAATACCTACCCCACACGAGCAAGCAGCTTCGCTTGCCAGGACAGTGTTACTGAATTCAAGGCATGAATGTGCAGATGTCTCGACGCCTCTGTAGACGTGGTGCGTATCGTACCAGTATCAGTCGTTCTGGAGCGGGGGGTGACGCAAAGTGGCTTAAGGTGGGAGGATCTGTGCATGGAAGTCTTCTGGGGTTTTAAGAAGGGTAAGGTTTCCTCTTCATGTCACGTGCCATGCCCCAACACGGGGGCCTCTTACCCTAGCTGTCACCGTCAGCGGAAGGCAACAAGTAAATGACCGTGTGGAAGCATGACAGGGAGCATCTCCAAGGCTCCTTTGATAGTTGTGCGTGGTTCCAGAAAGGGCTGTGGCGTAACCCTGGGAGACAGTGATGCCAACGGCCAGACGAGCAAGCAGGGTACCTAGTACCGGTAGATATTTCAGGAGCACATTGGAGAAAGTCTGGCTGAATACGTGTGACGATAGCATCGAATAGAAATAACCCGCCGAGACAAGACATCAGCACGTGCACTGACTGTAACTTGTTGCATCTAGAAGTATGTATACGTACGTCGCTCAGCCTCACATTTAGATCTGATACTCCCGAGTCCCCAGCTGTGGAGATGTACACGATACAATGAAATTGGCTTGGCACAGTGAAATGGCCATCAACCTTATGCCTTGGGGCTGGCTGGGATGACAAAAGGGTGTTGCAACAAGCCCTCCTTGGCACACAACACTGCCTTTGCAAGAGTCCAGCCCCGCCACTCAGAAACATGAGGCTGTCGCAGACATCAGTCATCAATCAACATGAGGAGGCACTCGAAGATCGGGGATCCGGTGCGTATGCCCATCTGAAACGGGAGATTCCTCACGGCTTCGCTGCATTGGCGCGCTGGGCAGGCACCGTCTAGGTTCCGTGTTTGCTGGCCATGGACCAGTGTCAAGTAGGTAGGTAACCTACGATCGCATTGCCGACTGCGTGTTCTGTGTAGATTGACTGGACTCCATCTCGGGCCTTTTAGCCATGGTCCCCCGTCACATGTCGAGCAGCAGGCTCACCGGCCAGAGCGTGCAGCTTTGCCGCACATCCATTCGCACAACCGCCCCCGTAGATCCACTCAGACACCGTGGGGACACATCGTGGGCTGTCATGCCCACCGCCTTGGTTGCGCAATGACGGTTGCGCCGCCCCCGCTGTCTGTCGCTGTGCCCGGCTGTGGGGGTTGCGTCTCGTTGTATATATCTGGCCCCCTCGATAAGCACACAAGAGCTAGGTACACTACACCAAGACCGATTATACGACTGATATACATTAAGCAATCACAATCACCATCAGCACAGAGGCGGCCTGCACTTCTATGCTTCCTCCCATTTGAACCGACTTTGGATTCCGTGGACCCATTTCTCCCGCCTCGACTCCACACGCTTTTTTTCTCTCGCTAGGCTCTTTTGCCTACCCAGTCTTTGTTTGCACACTCAGGAACCTTCCCGCGCCGAGGGACGTTTCTAGTTCCTCACGTTTCTACAAGCGCAACCTTGGAACTGCAACCTCCAAGACGGTCTTGGCTGGAGTACCGGTATCGGGTTTCGTGCTGGGACGACCTTTGCGAAACAAATCGCCCTGGATACAAAGCGCACCGAGCCTGACACACGCGCACACACGCACACATCCATCACATATCCGCTTTGGATAGTCGGGGTAAAGGGCGACTACTCCAAGTACATTGATTTGCTGCTTGGCTCCCCGCCGCCGATCTCACACGTTCGAGGCGCGGAAACTCCCCATAGGCTCAGGTTCAGGCTAGCAGAGAGTGCTTGAACGTGTGCGTTTGTGCAACACGCAACGACGAGGCTCCGACGAGGACTTCTGGAACTGCTTACAGAGTACGCCCGACGTCGGAATATAAGGGGTGGTCCGTCTTTGGTCGCCAGAGACTCACATTCCTCAACATATTCTACAGAGCACTGAGCGCGAAGCCGATCACTCACCGGAGTCGTACCATTTTCAGCACGACCGTCTTCCCAGTTGGCGTCTTTTTATTCTCTTATCTTCACAACACCCCCATCTGTGGAAAAACACCCACTCGGGGCATTCAATTGTTCGCCATCGACTTTGGCCCTCGAGACAGAAATTCAGCACCGACATCGCCGAGCTCGCAGAACAAGACAACGAGCCCATCACTCTCACCCCAAAAGTGTGAACATATCTGCCTGCGTTACGATGACGAGGAT